ATTGTTTTCCTTGCAGAAACACACTGATTCTTAGCAACTGTCTACAAAAGATAACAATAGAATTTGTCAAATAAAATACAATCTGGTGATAGATTTAGCTGCAGTTTTACAGCACCTTTGGGTAGTTTTGGCCCATTCAATAGAAGTATTTGGATGTATTTTCAGCTCTGAGGACACGTTCTTCCCCTCAATGATTTTTTGTAAATGTCATTGAAGATGCAGCAGTCATGTAGCAAGTGAGAAAAGCAGCTGTGTTACTGTCAGGCTGAATCAGAATCATTGTGCATATATACTTAAGTGACTCAGCAGTAACTAATTGAGTATTTGGGATCCATCCCCCTTTGGTAGCGTTCGTGTAATTTCCCTTTATGTGCAGGGGAGCCAAGCATATGATTTAAGCAGAGAGTATGTAGCAACAGAAACCCTTTTTTAAGTAGGTGATTATTTATTTATTTATTCATTTACTTGTGAGAGAGAGAGGGAGAGAAAATACAGTGACTTTCAGTAAATTTACTTGATTGTGAGCTGGGAACTTTTCTGAAAGATGTTATAAAAATGAACCTTTTCTTAAGATTAGAAGTAGAAGCCACTTTGTTTTTTCCTGGAATACCTCATGTGCTTTTACATCTCTACCTCTTAGTGACATCGTATTACAACATCACTTGTATATATGGAGTTTATTAAGTCAGATTCCTTTAAAAGAATTGGGAAGGAGGAGTAGTAATTTTTAAAAAGTGTATCTTTACATTTAGATATATTTTCTCTGCAGTGAACTAACACAGAGGCAAAGTGCCTTTGCTGTCCATGTCTGAACTGAACAACACTGTTTTCCAGATTTTAACACAACATTTCTCCTTCTGATATCCTCACACTGGTCTTCAGAAGCATGTAGCAACTCAGAGTCCAGAATGAACAGCCCATTAGAAAAACTGAAGTGTCTGGGTAAAGAGTGAGCTGCTTGCACAGAACATGGAGGAAGCCTCGTCTCAGAAACAGCAATCACGTCCTTGCCACTCTGAGATGTAAATTTATTAGCGTGTGTTAGATCTGTAAGATTGGTGTCTGTGGTTGAGATTACAGCCAAGTTCTGATCAGGGGGAACATAGCACTCTGCTGAGCAGCATAGGTAGCATGACATAGCGAATGGAAAATGGGGGATGTAAAAAGGAAAGATAAAGAGAGGAATAAAAACAAAATGGGGGAAAAAAAAAAGCTTTTTTTTTTTTTTTCCAGCCTCTTGTGCAAATTACTGCTATTATTAAGTCACTGCAAAATAAGTGTCACACAACCTTTAGACCCATCGTTTGCATGTAACTCTATTCCAAGAACGGTGTGAGGTCTACTGTTTCTTTAACCAAAATGAAGAAACATCTTTCTATTTCTGAACCATTTTTGCTTTTATTTTTACTATACAGTTATAGCCTTAGGCTGGGAGAAATATTCATGCTGTTCTCTCCTGTGTATATAGTTTCTAAGGACTGCACCGCTCTTATGCATATGCAAAAGTATATGCTTTGCATATTTACTTTCTTTATATGAAATAGCATGCCCACCACATCATGTACTGCTTTCACGTCTGCGCATATCCCCCCAAATTTATCATCTTCTCATATTTAGAACGTAATTCTCATTCGAATCACAAGCAGTCAGATCTTTTTAATAACAGTTATTCCAGAGATAACAGCTAATTATGATATTTCAAAAAGTGTACATTAATATTTCAGTAGGCTCAACATTTTGAAATACTACTCAAAGCAACATTACGGTCTCTTTTATTGGTGAAACAAAAAGATACTTTCAGCAGGCAATCAGAGCACCCTTCAACATACCACTCCAGTCCCTTTCCACAGTATCTTCTGTTTGCCATAAGCCACAGTTTGGCAAAACCAGCTTTAATGGATCTTTCTTAATGTAATTAAATATATTTAACAACAGAATGCTTCAAAGTCCTTAAATTGGTCATTTGTAAGAAGACAACGAGTTCATTCAAATCCCAGCTTTTCAAACGTTTTTCTTCCATAAATCCTATTAGCATTAATCTGCCAAAGCAAGGTGTGCTTCATCATTTTTTTTTTTTTTTCACATACCTGGAAAGCTCTGAGCTCTACTGCCCACTTATTATGTTGCTGCAGACTTTTGGAGGTTGCATGTGGACCAGAGCATCAGCGTGGTCCTGTTGTCCTCCCTGCACAGCCTCAGCTCCGTGGTGTTGCAGAACAAATGACAAAAAGGGAGATTTTTGTGTGATGAAATCTGCAGGATGTGGCAAGAGGGGACAGAATCTAAGAAAAGAAATCCTAGAAAATGAATTGCACGCTATGAATGTAAACAAGAGCAAGAGTAAATCACCTCTCCATTATTCTTCCTGTAGTGTATTTCATTGCAAGAATAAGAGACTCATATCTATAAGTTCTTACATAGGCAAACCTAGCTAATTCAGCCTAAGCCTCTGCAGACCGAGGCCTAGAGAGAGGCTTGAGCAAGGCCTCACCTTACAGTGAGACAGAGGCTGCGCAGCAGAATGTAGATTTCTGTTCCTGAGACCCCAATTATTTCCCAGCTCTCAAAAAGCAGGGTCAGGTTATGGTTCAGAAAGGGAGAATACAACTCCTCCAAATCGAAGTCAAATGCGTGCACGAAGGGAGTTGAAAAGAAAGGGGCTTTCTGTTCCTCCCTGAGGTGCACACTTAGTCTTTCTTGGAAGAAACAAGAGGCCACTTTTTCCTTTCAGTTTTATCTAGCAGGCATGTGAAAGGCAACCAAGGCTTCCGAAACCATCAATTAAGTGCTGAAAGACCCAGCAGAAGTTCATAAGGGGAAGAGGGAATTATTCACAGATTTCTGAACTATTTCAAACCAAAACACAGGAAAATCTCAGGATATGCATTTTTGTGACCGGTTGAAAATCGGTATGAAGTTCTCTCCGTTACAAGACAGCATTTTGTTGGTACTGCTGAATTTACTTTGGATTTGTGCATTTAATAACGAATAATGAGCTGGTAAAAGCCTAAACCAGCACTGGTAGAGCTGAAAAGTCAATTTTTTTACAGCGTAAAGTGACTCCCTCTAGCAGCATTGATTTTTCCTTTTTGAACTCCCTGACTGCCTCCACAAGGACAAACCCTTCCAGTTCCCTATCTCCCAGTGGCACACAGACCCACTGTGGGTTAGCACAAATACTCTGCCCTTGTGAGGCCTCATCTGGAATATTGTGTCCAGGTCTGGGGCCCTGAGCACAGGAGGGATGTGGAGCTATTGGAGTGGGTCCAGAGGAGGGACATGAAGATGGTCAGAAGGCTGGAGCACCTCTCCTACAAAAAAAGGTTGAGGGAGCTGGGCTTGTTCAATGTAGAGTAAGCTCCAGGGAGATTTCATTGCAGCCTTCCATTTGAAAGGAGCTTACAAACAGGAGGGAAATCAACTTTTTACACAGTTTAATAGTGATTGGGCAAGTGGGAATGGTTTTAAACTAGAAGAGGGGATATTTAGGTTAGATGTTAGAAGGAAATTCTTTACTCAGAGGGTGGTGAGGCGCTGGCAAGCTGCTCAGAGAAGCTGTGGTGCCCCATCCCTGTATGGATGGCCCTGGCTGGGTCTGTGGGGATCACACTCATTGAGCTACAGGAGATCTGATGGTACTATGATCTTGTTGGTGATGTGAGGTGGGTACCAAGCTGCCCTCTGAGGGCTGGTGGGTTCAAGCTGCTTGTTTGCATTGTTCCCTGTGCTTTGTCCATAAGGCCTGAGGCCCTGCTCTTTACCATGAGGAGGGATGTGCATTGACAGGTCTTACGGGTGTGGGATCAGCTCCAATGTGGATGCTTGTGTCCATGATCTGTGGTGCTATAGGTCCACTAAACCTGGAGACCTGAGCATCCGTGCGGTCTTTTGGAGGCAGATTCCAGACCCTGCAAGCAGCCTGAGATCATCTGGGTTCAATCTAGTGATAAATGGACTCCAGAAGTGTTTGGCTATTTGTAAAAGCCCACAGTGCTTCTTATCAAAATATTTCCCACACAAGGCCAGGTTGGATGGGGCCCTGGGCAGCCTGAGCTGTGGGGGGCAGCCCTGCCCATGGCAGGGCTTGGGGCTAGGTGAGCTGTGAGGTCCCTTTCAACCCAAGTTATTCTATTATTTTGTGACACAGGGCCCTGAGTGAAACCAGGTTCTGCACCAGGACTTGACGAGGCCACAGGTTGAGTCGGTCCTTCATCCCACTGATTTCACTCCCAACACCAGCTTTTAGCAGGTCATCTTGAAGCCCTTGTGGGAAATGCTGACTTTGATCACTCATGACCGGCAAGGTTGTGGAAGCCTCTCCCTGAAAGCATTCAAGACCAGGCTGAATGGAGCTTTGAGCAGCTTGGTTTAGAGGGAGGTGTCCCTGCTTACAGCAGGGGGGTTGGAACTGGGTGATCTTAAAAGTCCCTTCCAACCCAAACTATTATGATTCTGTGCACAGGGAAGCACAGCAGCTTTCCAGAAGGGCACAATCTTGTGGCAGAAGGTCTTTCCCACACGCAGAAAGCCAACAGCTCCCTAACTTCAGCACAAAGGCTGCCGAAGGGGGCTGAGATGCAGCCATGCCTCTCACCTGCCCACGGCACACAATTTAGCTATAAAGGGCTCAGGGGGGCAGTTTCGGCGCCATATGCCTTCTCTACGCGGACAGCAGGTAGCAGCCCAGCACCAGCAGCACCACCACAAGCCGGTCCCCTCTCCTCCGTTTACTTTGAGCACTTTCCCCGGGCTCTCGCGGTCGGGAGATCTGGGAGGCACCTTTAGTCTCCGACCGGGCCGGGCCTTCCTGCGGAGAGAGGTGGGGGAAGGAAGGGCGGGGGCGGGCGGAGGAAGCGGCGGCACTCCCGGAGCGCGAGGGGGAGCCCGGGGAGCTCCTCCCGCGCGATCCCGGCAGCGGCAGCGGCAGGAAGGGCAGGGCGGGGGCGGGGGCTGCGCGGGGGGGTGGGCGGGCGGTCGATCGGGCGGAGGAGGGGCCGGGGCCGCCGCCGGCTGAGGGAGGCAGGGAGCGGAGCCGCCGAGGGCCGGGGCCTTGGACGCGTCCGGAGGAGGAAGAGGAAGGGGGGGAGCCGGCCCCTCTCGGAGCACGCAGCCCGCATCCGCTTGTGGAAGGGAAGAGGGAAGCGGAGGGGGGGGAGCGAGCGAGCGAGCGGGTATCGCCGCCGAGGAGACAAAGAAGCGGAGCCCGCCCGGGCTGGGAGCCTCCCCGCGCCGCTCCGCTCCGCCCCGCCCCGCTCCCACCGGCCGGGCCGAGGTGAGCGCGCCCCGCGGGAGGGCGGGACGGGGCCGCCGCAAACTTGTGGCGGCCGTCGGGGGCGGCCGGTGGGGGCAGGGCGACGGGGGGGAAGGGAGGAGAGAGGCGGGGGGCACCTGGGTGGGGGTTCCCCGGGGAGGAGGCAGGTGGCGGCCGGGGCTTGGGGGGGGTGGCGAGGGAAGGGGCCCGGCGGGTGCCTGACAGCCGCCGCTTTGTGTCGGCGCGGGGAAAGCGGCACAAAGGAGAAGTTGGTTCGGGGAGGCGGAGGGGTCCCTCGCAGCCGGGGCACGGCCGGAAAGTTTTCCGGTGGGGGCGGCGTGCGGGGCGCGGCGATGCGGGCCCGGGCTGCGCCGGTGGTGGCCGCGGGGAATATTCTGGTAAGCGGCCGCCGAACCCCTGCGGAAGGGTAAAAGCGGGGATTTTCTCGAGCGGTGCCGCCCGAACGGCAGAAAAAAAAAAAGTTGGAATGACACGTTGCGTGCCCAGGAAGCGCGTCTCGGGGGGTTGGGGTGGGAATTGGCCCTTCCTCCCCTGGCCGTGCCCTGTGTAGGAAGCTGCCCGAGCACGGGTAACTGCTCGTCCCCTGTGGAGTTTGCTTCCTCGGCTCCGCTAGCTCGGGGTTTTTTACAGCTTTATGGCTCGCTGTGCGCATCTGAGTTATTCTGTGAATTAACTCAGCGCTGCCGTGCTCTTTTGTTAGCTCAAAACTTGAGCGAACTCTGTTCCTTTTGTGTGCGGTGAAGCGATGTGTGCTCCCGAGAAAGTGGTGTTGCGGCCGCACGTTCTGTGCGGGTTCCTCACGTGGAAAACGCCGGTGCCCTTTATGAAAACAAACCTCCACGGTCCATCCCGTGCGTGGCTTATGTCATCTGGAGCCGGGCATGGGCATGGAGGCATCCAAAAGGGCAGAGCTCGTGCAGGGCTCCTTTCTGAAAGCATTTCTGCCCCTGCTTATCAGCGTCAGTACCACAGAGATGTTTGTGGTACCGTGTGTGTTGTTAGGACTAGAAGCGGAGTGAAATCACTCTGTAACTCATAGATACTGGTATTTTTCAGATCTGGAATTGAAGTTGGGTGTCCCACCCTGGTCGACCTCAGCAGCTGTGTCCTCATATCTGACTTTCTCCTTGAAACTTAGCTAGACCTTGTTGCTTTCGGGAGCAGTGCATAAATGCAGACATGGGAGGCACCTGCTAAGACTACAGTTGTAATTAGCAAATATCTGTATGTAGGCCATGAAGCAGATCTGGGCTCGTTATACCGTCAGCTCTCCTTGCAATTGTTCTGTCAGTGCATAGTTAGCTGCTGTATGAGCCTTTTTACCTCTGCAAGATAGTATTTCCAACTGCTGTTACAATACAGAGGTGTACAAAATCTCTTTTGCTGTGTTTCTCCAGAAACAGAAGCAGAGTTAGTCCATGGTTATCTGGATGGTCCTTTATGTTTCGTCCTTACTGTTAAATATATAGTAAATTCAAAACTCCAGCCTTTGCCTTGCTACTTGTTAAAAAGGGAGCTCGTTCCTTTTTTCTTCTTCCTCTGCTTTCTCCCTAGTTTCTTGCCTAGCTGTGTGGTAGCATTAAGGAAAGGTGTTTGTGCTCTTATGTGTCACCTCGCATCTACTGTGTGCTAAAGAAGAGGGGACGAGGTCAGCAGCATCTGCTTTGTTTCCAGGCATTGCTTTTTTTTTTTGGTGTGTGTGTGTGTGTGGCTGCTGACATGTTATTCCCTTGCTCACAGTGCCCCTGGCTTTCCTCAGCAGTAACTATAACATTAGCAGCTGGGAAAGAGATGTTCGGATAGTGCAGTTTGCTGGTTGTTGCCTTGAGCAGCAGCAGAAAGCTCGTGCAGGTATCTCCTTTTTTGTACTACATGAGCATAAAGGCTGCTCTAGACTCACAGAAGCAAGTGCTCTTCACTTTATACTTGGGAAAGGTTCACAGTCAAACCCAAGAGGTCCTTGAATCTGAAGGCTACGTATGTTCTGGAAGATACTTTCTGTTTGTGCCAGGGATCTGGGGGTGTCTCAATGGCTGTTCCCTTTCTTCTTCCCTGTGCTCTCAGAAATGGAGATGGTGGAAGGAAAGTATGGATGAAAGTGAGGTGCTGCTGGGTTGGCATGGTAAGATGTGCGGTGAGGTTCTGGACGCACTGCTCAGATGAAGTAGGTCATCTTGCACGCTGGAGAGGCTGTGTGGAGAGCTGAGGCTCTCTGCAGGCAAGCTGCTGTCTGTTTCTGCTGAAAAAATAAACTTTTGAACAATATGCTTTATCCCTGTGTTTACTAGGCGTACAGAAATGTTGCTAAACAGTAGCTTCCGCATGGTGAGACTTCTCCAGCCCCTGAAAGTCAGGTATCCTTAACAGTTCCTGAATTGGAAGGCCTTCACGGGAAGCGGGGATGGTGCTTGTGCCGTGGCAGATAGCATTGTTTCTTCCTCTTAAAGCATACAAATGATGCCTATGCGATTAATTTAACCAGCAGGCTGTTGTACGGTTCTCTGAAAAAGATGCTGCATGTGGTCCTGGTGACTTCTCCCTTTTGAAAAATGCCTTTTCGTTTTGCTTTGCAAAGTTATGAAGATTGGCCCAGGTGTACTTAGCTTTTTTCTATTTTAAGTAGTTGCGTTGAGTTTTTTTCTTGCAGATTCAGTTAGACCCATTAGTAATCGTAACTTAGTCATCTGCGTTCTGCCCAATTAAACTATTGCTCTGTTCAGTGATGGGTTCAGTGATTCTTCCAAGTGTGAAGTTGTGTGTTTTTTCCTAGAGTAATCTTTTATTCCCCATCATAAGGATTCTTAATTATTTCATAAATGCTAATGAAATGAGTAAATTGGAAGCTCACTGAGATGTAAAATACATGTTTTTATTTTTGTTGAGTACATGTGACACAAAGAATGAGTTTGTCTCTCGCTGTTAACAAAGTGAATTCTTGTTTTAAAACCAGCATAGACAGCTTTGTGGGCAATGAAATGGTTTGACAGGGTATGTTTTTATTGTAAATTTTAGGATGCTAAGGAATAAATCTTGATTAGAGAATGGCAGCACTTTGCATTTAAAATTACTGCAGGTTTTGTAGGACGGTTTCAGAAATTGTAATGTTGAAAAAAACTATCTGTTAGGGGATGCTGAGACGTGCTGGTGGATCCAGGGTTTGTTCAAAGTTGTAGAAACTGCCTGTGTGGCTTAGAGGCTTTCTTGCTCTATAGGTTTGTTGTGCTGCTTTTGGTCCTGATCTCATTAATGAGTTAAGATGGTGACCTGTAACTAATATTGATTACTCTGGGAAGCAGATAGGGGGCTGAACATACTGGGCTTGCAGTAGATACCTGAATTATTAAAATAATAGTAATAATAATAAAAATATTGCTTCTCTCTTTTAACAATGACAGAGTAGTGCAAAATGAGTGCAATATAGGTGTGTTTTTAGTCTAAGCTGAAGAAACTCAATCCAGGTTTACTCGTTCTTAACTCATTTAAGTTATTGTCTGCAGAGTGTGTGCAGTTCTATTGATCGGCATGAAAACAGATGTTGAGATACGCCACCAGTAAAGGATAGCTGAAGCTGTATTGTAGAAAACCTGGCATATTTAATGCATTTACAAAAGCAGGTAGTCTCCTTAATTAATGTATATATATATATATATAATGATTTTTTAAAAAAATATTTAAAAAAAATGATTTTGGAACCCAGGTATAGCTGGATGGTAACTCATTACCGTGATGTTTCAGCAGGTTGTGCTGTTTCGACAGGTAGGATGTTCTCTTCATCTCTCAAGTCAGCAGATGCCTAAAGCCTTGTGTTTGGATTTGTGCAGATCACGTTTGCACATTTTAGCCGAAATGGATCAATAATCAAAAATAATTGAGCAGGGAGATTACTGTCGATAATTATTGTATTATGTGATTATTATTTCTTTGGTTGAAAGACAAGATTTGCTTTCTGCCCCTTTTACAGTTTTATTGTGTTCTAGAAGTGTGTTCACTGTGGGGCCTGAATAAGGAGAAACTGCAGAGATGTGAAAGCAGATAGCACAGTTTGCTTACAGCTGGTGCCTCTCTTCCCAAAGCAGGTGCACTGAGTCCCTTCGTACTAGGGTGCCAGCAGCTGCTGTAGGCCTCTCTTGGCTGTCTTTGTCCAGGTTACGCTGGATCAGCTCGATGCAAATCTGGGATAGCAGACAAACTGCAAGACAGTGGGAGGAGGGTTAGCAAAAAGGGGCTTTCTGCTTTTGCTGGGGCGAGCGGGTGTGCTGCTTGCAGTGCTGTGTTTAGAAAATATGCTTTGTGGGATCTTGTTTTCCTTTTTTGAGCTTTTTGTGTTTTAAAGAAAATGAAAGAGAGTAAGTTGTTAAAAATGAGTTGAGTTCTCATGTGATTTTTATTTTGCTTTTCCTTTTTAATTCTTACATTAAAGAGTAGTCATTGGGCACAGAAATTCTCCTTCAGAATGAAAATAGACTGGTGCAGGGTGTGCAGCTTTTGGAAAGGAATGGAGTTGATTAAGTATTCAAAATGTAAGTTGAATGTATGGGTATAAATACAGAATTTTCTAACTTATCCTCGTCAAATTTAGGTTGAATCACAGAATCTTAGAATAACCTGGGTTGAAAAGGACCACAGTGATCATCTAGTTTCGACCCCCTGTTATGTGCAGAATCACCAACCACCAGACCAGCCTGGCCTTGAATGCCTCCGGGCATGGGGCATCCACTGCCTCCTTGGGCAACCTGTTCCAGTGCGTCGCTGCCCTCTGAGTGAAAAATTTCCTCCTAATATCTAACCTAAATTTCCCCTGCCTTAGTTTAAAACCATCCCTTCTTGTCCTATCACTATCCACCCTCATAAACAGCTGTTCCCCCTCCTGTTTATACTCTCCCTTCAAATAATGGAAGGCCACAATGAGGTCTCTCTAGAGCCTTCTCTTTTCCTAGCTAAATGACCCCAGTTCCTGAGTCTTTCCTCATAGGAGTGGTGCTCCAGCCCTCTGATCATCT